TACATTTTTTCTTCAACATCATTAATTTTTTAATTCATTTACTTATTGCCAAGTTCTTATTTGTAAATTCTATCTCTGTTGAATTTAGGGTTTAACTCCCCAAGTGAAATCCTGTTTCTCTTCTTCCCTACTTCTTGGTGTGATGCTGCTCTTGCCCTTCCAGTGCGGATTAAACAGTAGATGAAAGCATGAAACTGGATTCACAAAAAGACACACAATATGTTCTCTTTAAAATCACATTACACTTTATATTATTATAAAGTTTACTTTTACTACCATGATTTTGTAGAACAATGATGGTTGATGAAATAACATTTCAAAAATTCCGCTATTATCCATTTCAAAACATGACATTTATTTGGAAGTTTTAGATTATTTGAGACTTGCATTACATTTCACTTGCTACTATATATGTAACAAAAGCACTTAGTGACATTTATATGGTGATTTTGTATGTGGCAGAGAAGCAGTTGATTAAAAATAACCTTTTTATATTTAATTAAACAAGTTATTTTTTAAAGATTTATTTATTCATACAAGAACTGGGGTACAGGCCAGAGCAATGGGGGTTAAGTGGATTCACCAGAGACAGAGTGGGGAACAGAACAGGAGGACCGACTGAAATACACTGCTGAGGGGAGCAGTGAGTGAGTCAGAAGAGGTCTGCTGCGTCATGTGGGTCACCCCACTGGCTGGGCATTAAACTCAAGCTGCAGCAGCTGCAAATAGCTTTATAGGTTGCGTCTTAACCCATTGTGCCACAAGGGAGGCCCCCTAAACAAGTTATTTTAAGGCAAAGATTTTATGAGTTCAAAAATAAGTTACATTGATTTACCTTGTTTCTGAATGAGTGGATAAGCAGTTCAATTATTGTAAAATATATCTCAGTGTTGATCTTTACAACATAAATATTTCTAAATAGAAATACTGGAAGAATATATTCCCGGTAGACAAGCTCTCTTGAGAATAAAAATACTGACAGGTTGTATATGTGGCTAACATTAAATGCTGTGTGAGTGGCCCTTTTTCTTGCATTATATTATTTACTTTTTTAAAACCAATGTTTTGTTTTATATATAGGTGATTTGTGTCTTTGGCTTCTCTGTGATCTCATTTCTGATTGAAACACACAAATTTTTGAAATCAGGAAAATAGTACTCAAAATTCAATTAAAATAATTCTTAGGGGAAATTAGGTATAAATAAATAATAATTTTTTTTTTTATTATTCCCGATCAGGTAACATATTGAGCTTGGCTTTAGAGTTCGAAGCAAGGGTTTAATTTTTTTCCATAGGGCTTTTGTGTTATGAACAGGTCACTACCCTTCACTCTCATAACCCAAATGGAGAAACGTAGATATTTGAACTTAAAGCAGTCTATGTCTTATGACATTCATTTTGTTTATTTTATTTTTAAAGATTTATTTATTTATGCATATAAGAGCTGGAGGGTACAGGCCAGAGGTGCAGGGGAGTGGAGGATTCACCAGAGACACAGTGGGGAACAGAACAGGCAGACTGACTGAAATACACTGCTGAAGGGAGCAGCTGGTGAGACAGGAGAGGTCTGCTGTGCCATGTGTGTTGCTCCCTGGCCGGCTGGGGATCGAACTTGTGCTGCAGAGGCTGCAGATTGCTTCATAGTGTGGTGCTTAACCCCTTGCACCACCATGGAGGCCCCATTTTGTTTATATTAAAGCTGAGAATAACTTTTTTCCCCCCATGTGTTGACGAATATAAGAAGTCTGTAATAGCATTTTCTTAGATTCAGAGATGTGAGTCTGCTTATGTGTGAGGTTGTGCATTGTGATATTGAAAGAGAGAACATGAGAAACTAATATTCTCATATTCCTTTAGACTTTTGGTTATTTATGTTGTATTTAATTAAACTATCTGGTTATTTCACTACATAAGGCATATTTGAATTTCTGGTGATATCAAAGTTAAGTTAAAGCTAATAGCAGGGCCTCCCTGGTGGCACAAGGGATTAAGACGCAACCTATAGAACTTATCTGCAGCCACTGCAGCATGAGTTCAATCCCTAGCCAAGGAGATACCCACATGGCACAGCAGACCTCTCCTGACTCGACCGCTGCTCCCCTTTGCAGTGTATTTCAGTCAATCTGCCTGTTCTGTTCCCCAGTCTCTCTCCAGTGAAACCTCTCACCCCCTACTACTCTGGCCTGTACCCCAGTTCTTGTATGCTTAAATAAATATTTTTTTAAAAAGCTAATAGGATAAAATGTCTACGAGTTCTTTCTCAGGAATTCCTTGATTGATAAATAGAATATAAAAGTACTTTTATTTAAAAAATGTTTGAGATATGTATTTTGTTCCCTAGAAAGAGAAATAAATATTTTTGATTAAACTATGCTTGGTTGACATGTGACTATGATTTGGGATCTCTGATATTTTCAAAGCAAAACACAATCTAATGATTCAAACCCTTAGCTATTTTTAAGTGTTTCAGTTGAAATAGCATCAATTAAGTGCAGTTGGGAATTTGCATTTTTGTTACAACTATTATTATTCTAGGAATTTTTTGCCAGCTGGTATAGAAAAATATTAATAGACAATGATTGCTAAGTTAAAAAGAGATTCATATGTCTCAGCATCTCAGCATTATAATATCTAGTGCATAGGGGGAACTGGTGAGACAATTTCCCACAGAAATTTAGAGCTCCTGCCACTTTCTACTTGTAAGAAGGTTAGATGAGCACACGCAGTTTTACCAAGCTGTTTGTTCAATTAAAGGAGAAACCAGTACTGGTAATAAATAATTTGTGAACTTTTTTTGATTTATACTTTCAACAAATATTTATTTATTCAGCACCTTATATAACAGTCACTGTCTTAAGCACTGGGGATATATGTGAGAGGGGCTGTTAAACAATAAATGAGTTACTTGTAAAATATGTCAAGTGATGATAAGTACTCTGAAGAAAAACAGAGCAGGGAAGAATGGTAAAGTGTGAAAGGTGGTTGGAGAGAGAGAAAAAGTGCTCCTACACATAGAAATGTGGGGGAAGGCCTGGCATGTGAGGGAGAATACAAAGCAAGTGAGAGAGGAATCCTCCGTGCTGCTGAAAAATGATCAGCTGTGGGTCTTAGATGCAATTGTAAGAGTAAGACTCTATGGCGGAGGACTATGGGTGCTTTGGTGGTGGGCAAATTATGGTGACCACACCTGAGTAGAGAAATCCTATATTGAAAAACCACACAAGGATGTTGTAAAGGGCAGGACTGGACACAGTGCAGGTTTTCTGATCCCATGCAGACCGGGTAGAGGAGTCAGAGTCCTCAGTAGTTTTGCACGTTTTTTATTTGGGGTTCACCAGTTATATGGCAGGCAGGGGTGCTGGCTGGGGGGCTGGGAGGCTGGCAGGCCTCCCAGCCCCCAGCAAGTCTTCACTCTATCTGGGCTCTCTGGCGTTTGTTCTGCTGCTTCTCGGCTTCTCTTTCGGCTTCGGCTTCGGCTTCGGCTTCGGCTTCGGCTTCGGCTTCGGCTTCGGCTTCGGCTTCTGCTGCTGCTGCTGGCGTCCCCGTGACACCGCCCTTAAAAAAGCACAGTCTTAGCTCAGCTGAATCCCATCTACCTATGCCCACACCCTATTCCAGGTGCCCGCCATCAGGCATGCATTCAGGACAAGGATCCATCATCTATCCTGATGGCGGAAGGGCAGAAAAGCCTGACATTTTCTTTACCCTACAGATGTAAAATAATGAGCTATCACTAATTAAAACAAACAAACAAACAAACAAAAAAATAAGACTCCGAGACAGACCACTTACACTCGGTATTTTTGTGAAATTTTATCTTTAAATCTGGCCATGACTACATAACTCTACTAAACATTATTGAGGATGTCAGACAGCAATGCCATCTAAAACTTGACAGAAAATTTTGAAGAAATAATTGACTTTTAGTACTAAAATTCAAAGGAATATAGAGTGCAGCCTCATTGTCCTCTTACTTAAGGAATATAATTTATCTAGTATTAGTTATACCAATTCTTACTGATATATATGAAGAGAATGTCAGCTTGGATATGTAGGGGCTTGCTATATGAGAACAAGAGATAAAGATAAAATGGTCTAGGGCGTAGCACAGAGTAAACACTTCAATGGTATAACATATCATTACTTTTATTATTGTTATTACTTCTAGTAAGATATTGGTGTTTTATTTAAATATTAAAGAAGTGGAAAAATAATATAATATTGTAGGGTACGGTAAAAGGTATCAGGCTTTTCTGCCCTCCCACCATCAGGATAGATGAGGGAACTCTGTGATCCTGAATGCATGCCTGATGGTGGGCACCTGAAGTGGGTACACCTGCGCTAAGACTGTGCTTTTTAAGGGCGGCATCACAGGGACGCAAGAAGCCGAGAAAGCAGCAGCAGAAGCCGAAAGAGAAGCTGAGAGAGAAGCAGAGAAAAAGAGGCAGAAGCAGAGAACGCCAGAGAGCCCAGATAGAGTGAGGATTTGCTGGGGGCTGGGAGGACTGCCGGCCTCTTGGCCCCCCAGCACCCCTGCCTGCCATATGCCTGGTGAACCCCAATAAAAGACCTGCAAAAAACCACTGAGGACTCTGACTCCTCCTTTACCCAGTCTGCATGGGATCAGAGAACCTGCACTGTGGCCAGTCCTGCCCTTACAAATATTTAATAGTGAACAAATGCTGACCAGTTGCTAACCAACAATCAAACTCAGTTTGTTAGTCAAAGAAGACTTTTGTCTATTTCCCCCATGTAGAGAATTTTCTGGTGCACCGTCGTCACTGCCCAATGTGAACTCAGCAGGTATATCAGCCCATTAGAAAATGCCAAAGCAAGTCCTCTCTGGCCTCCTGTCCTCTGAATGTACAGAGACTGAAGTCTCATGGGGTGACTAGGAGGGGGCAAGTGTTCAAAGGTAGGCACAAGCACTTTTGGAGTTTCAAATACATTCCACTGGAATTTCACTATCTGTAATAAAAATACCAAATTCCAGCTTTTACTCTAAATGTACAATGCTTCCTTTGACAATGGTGCTGTTTCCCACTGTAGTGCCAGCAGCCAACCAGGCGGCAGAGCAATCAGGTGCTGAGGGGTGAGAAGCCTGGCAGGTCTCCGAGCCCCAGGGGAATCTGTGCTCTTTCTCTTTGGGCTCTCTCTGGCATCGTCTTGTGGTCCTGCGTCTCTGTTTGTAGTCACTCATCCTCTCATTGCTTTTCTGCCATATCAGTTGCACGCAGCTGTCCTTTGCCTGACTCCACCCATATAGCCACCCCTATAGCTTCAGCCTCCAGACTCAGGTGTGCCCACTTGTGCACACCTGCATCATGCTCCAGGTGCTCACAATCCGGAAAGAGTGCCCCACCCATGCACCTCCTGTATTAGCACAAACAAGACCGCAGGTGATAGCCACAGAGGCCAGTGGCTAAAGCCTGGCCATCTTCATTTACCATCCACCCACATACCTCTTTCTTTCCTGTCCAAGCAATTTCTTATGTATCAGGACTTGAGAATGGAATTAACTCTGCAAAGAAGGCTTCACTTAACCTCTATCCTCAGTGGTTTGGGGCAGGGGGTATATCTTCCCTTTCCAAGACAGGTTTTCTCTGCTTTTTGAAAGTTTGCATTATGCTGCTTTACTTTTACGAAAGATTGACATTAGTATGTTTTTGCTAAACAAAATAACTCTGAAAAGAATTTACACTTCTATCACAGAAGGTGAAAAGTGAAAATGGTGGTTAGCTTTGTTTGGCAGCAGCTGCCATGGAGGCAACAGGCACCTGCAGCAGGAAGCATGGCACCTGCAGGGGAAGGTAAAGTATCAGGCTTTTCTGCGCTCCCACCATCAGGATAGATGACGGAACCCTGTGGTCCCCAATGCATGCCTGATGGCGGGCACCTGGAATAGGGTGTGGGCATAGGTAGATGGGATTCACCTGGGCTAAGACTGGGCTTTTAAGGGCGGCATCACGGGGACACCAGCAGAAGAGAAGCAGAAGCAGCAGAGAAACGGAGAAGCAGAACCAAGAGAGAAGCAGCAGAGAGAACACAAGAGAAGGCCAGAGAGCCCAGAGAGAGTGAAGACTTGCTGGGGGCTGGGAGGCTTGCCAGCTTCCTGGATCCCCCGTCTGCCATGTACCTGGTAAATCCCAATAAAAGCCTGCAAAAGCCACTGAGGGCTCCAGGACTCTCCTCTTCTCCTTTACCTGGACTGCTGGATCAGAAAACCTGCCCTGTGTCCTCCTGCCTTAACAGCACCCCAGCTCCTTCCGGAGCCCTGTACTCAGCACGTCAGGGTCAAATCGCCATAACTCTGCACTAGGGCTTGAGCATCGGTCCTCTGTTTCTAGTTATTTGGTGCATCTGCTAGGGAGATCTGTCCTGAAATAGCAGAGAAGCCTGGAAGAGCTTCTCAGGGTGTTCCTCCTGCCGTAGAGCAGACGTGCGGAAACTGTCGCAATATCCATTTGCCGGAAAGTGAAGCCGTCCAGGAACTGAAGCACTTGGCATGGCCTGTGCACCACGGTGGGCCATGCTGCGATGATTCCAGAAAAAAGGTGGCTTTAATTTTGAAGGTCGCATAGATGTATGGCAAAGTTTGCAGTGTGTTTCGAGTACCTGCCTACAAAGAAATGTGTGAGGTTAAACAGCTGTCCTGTTTCCACCCTTCCATGGCGGTGAAATTCGCCGAGGACGGCAAAACACAACTTCAACATGGAGGCAGGCGGGCATAGAAGAAGGAGTAGGCGTTTTAGTGACCTGCCTGCCCTATTGGCCCCAGAGACAATGAGATGTTGATAGCTGATGCTCGTCCTCTCTCGCCTACCCCTCAGTCTCCGGGAGCTTCCTCACCCCAGCCGCCAACAACTCAGCCTAAAACACCACCCTCACGGCCTTGCAGCCTTCTCGATGGCTTTTTGATAGTGGTAAGTGAAACTACATGATATTTCTATTTTGTCTAGCCATGCATTTATTATATACCTCTCCCACTTTTACTGTGCATTGTTATTTTAGATTTTATGCATTATTTGTTATGGTCTGGCAGGTTATCTTTTGCATGTGAGAAAGTTTAGTTTTTTTTCCATACAAATTAATGGCTATTGCTTTTTTTCTGTATGTCCCCTTACAGAAAGTTTCATAAGCTCTTTCAGATAGTGGAGGAAACTTGTGCTATGTCTAGCTGTTGGCACAATCTACTACTTATATTAGACTTACCTATTCCTAAGTGTTTGTCTATTTCCAGAGTTTGTCTGTTGCATTAGTCTGTTTAATGTTGCTTTTAATCACTCTTGAGGTCTGAGTAGAGGACATTTTCTTTTCTTGAGAAGCTCATTAATTCTATACCAACTCTTTCTTATTTGACCTTCACACTTAGGCCACTGTGCACTCACCTTAACAGATTCCTTGTCAGGTATCAGAAAACCAGAGACAGCCGCTTATGCTCTCTAAATAAAATCATTTAGATTAACTTATTCACAGGTAGCCTACAAAACTTGGCTAACCCCACCCACTCTGCTCACCATACATAGAGTGGCACCTATAATGCCATCTAGCTTTTCCCCTGTACCTGGAGTGCAGGGTCCTCTGTGACTCCCCTGCAATGTCTTTTAGTTACAAGTAATGAGAGTTGTGCCTGACTTCCATATGAATATAATTGTATTGTGTCCATCATCAAAAATTGCTCTGCACTTTATAGAACACACAGTAGTTCATTCTCTGGATCTTTTCAAGAATGTGGAACAAATCCTTGACTTCTATGTAGAATAGATTGTATCACCCAGTCGAAGTTTTTCTAAAGAGCTATCTGCTCTTTCCTATATTTCATTAATTTCAAAGTGGAAATTTTATCAACCTGATTATATAAACTTTCATAGAACACACAGCATGTGCAACATCTAGTAGACCTCAAGTCTTCATCTCCCATACTTCTATCCTCTTATCTCTCTTTAGTCAAATAGGAGCTGGTAAACTGGTTGATTATGGATATTAGAGAAGACTCATGTTTGCTAATGAGCAGTTGTACTGTGGCTGAAAGGTAACACCTGTGCACCTACCTCCCTGCTCTCTGCAGGAAACAAGCAAAGCTGGGTATGCATTTAGTAACTATGTAGACTTAGCAAGAACCTGCAGTTTTCCTCCCCCAGACACTATTGGCAAAAATAATTTATGACAGAATTTTATTTCTTCACACACATGCCTTGTATTGGCTTTTATTCCAAGACAGGTTTAATTCCTGGGAAAACAAAACAAAACAAAACAAAACAAAACAACACAACAATATTGAGTTGACCAAGGTTCTGGACTAAACAGAAAAATGGCAAGATTTGTGAAGGAAGCCATATGGCAGAGGTCATGTATCCTCATAGAATCTGAGTACACACACTTGAAAAAAAAATCAACACTTGCAGCCTCATAGGACTAAGAATGTCTTGAGCATTTGAGAAGGTTAACTAAAGTAAATTTAACCTTTTGATTTGAAATTTGGATTGGTAATGGTAAAGGGAAAGAGAAACAGTGTAGGAATCCCCACTTAAACTTAAACAAATGGTCAAGCAATTCATCTGTTTTCAGAGAACATTGCATTGCAGATTATTTGACCCTGGCCCTTTTATTAATGAAGGAAGAAGTACCTTGGTTCTGAAATTTCTCTGCATTCCTTTCCTTTAATTCCCTTGGAAAGTTTTGGATGATTTGCAGGGCAAAGAATCAGAAAATTGGTGAACTGGATAAAATCTTACCAGCCTGTGCCCAAGATTTCTTTAAATCTCTAAGAAAATCTTATTGAAACTATAAGAAAACACATTGGAGTAAGGAATTGATTGACCTTGAAGACCAAGAAATCGCCTCTGGGAACTAGAGAAACCATGTCATTTAAGAGGGATTAAAAGCAGAAGAAAAGAGGGAGAAAAGGTATTAAATGTGAACAAAGAATGCACACATACACACACTCACACACACTTTTGTATTACAGAGAGAAAAGCCATATAATCATATTAATCTATTTCTTGACAAGACGGTTTTCAATGAACATAATTTTATCATTGGAAGTTCTCTTTCACTGGCCAAAATGCCTAGGAAGAGTCCCCACTTTTACCTGCTTTAGTGATTACCGAGGTGATGTCTACTTTGGGAACCAAGATTCTTCTCTGACATCCTAGCAAATGAGAGGACATGACCTTGCCTCCTCCTTTATAATTGCTATGAAATTTTATCATAAGAGCCAAGCTCTGAAGGTGTATTCCCTATGTGATTAGCTGGATGAAAGGTAAAGGAAAGGGTTATGGGTGATTCCAAGTGTGTGAGTGAGCATCATATGTGACGGAAAGGTAAAGGAAGATTACACCTAGAAAACTGTTTCTCACTGTGTTCTCTATTGACTAACGGGGGTGAAAGTCAGATTGTAAGAGATTAAAAAATGTAAAGCATAGAAATGAGAAATTTTGTGCTATGCGGAAAGAAACAATATTTGGGGATTTTACGTGTGTGTGTGTACATGGGAGTACATGCATTTTGCTATTCATGATATAAGGTAAAACATACATCAGTGGGATGGCAGAAAAGAGTATGAAATGCTACATTGTGTAAAAGTTAAATTAATGATGCCAGTGCAATCTAATGTGAATGTGGGTAGGACTTTCATGATGGAAAATGAGGTAGAGAACTAGTTCAAAGAAAATTCTGATAAAAAAGGAGACAGGGTCCCGTCAATGACCTATATTGATTGCTTTTGAGTTCAGTGATCTTGTAATTTATTCCTTTCCCAGGTATTGGGTTGATGAATTTCCCAGTACAGGATTACTTGTCCCTGACTTTTCCATTCTTCACTGTGTAGTTGGTGCAGTTGAAGTACTAAAAACACAGTATTTTATTTATTTATGTTTTATTTTTATTTTAAATTGAGGTAACATTGGTTTACAAGGTTGTATATGAGTTAGAAGTATAGGATCTCCCCCTTCAGTTGTTACAACAGCATACCCCCCACCAGCATGCCAATAGCCCTCCTGTACAGTCCATTGTGCTCTTCCCCACATTGTTCTCTCTCCACCCCCATCACCTCCCCAGTAGCTTCAATTCTATGGTCAGATTTCTAGGGTTACTGGTTTGACTTTACCTGACCCATTGGTTGGTTTCGCTCCATTCCATGACACCAGCCAGTGTTTCTTTCTCCTCTTGACTTATTTCACTTAGTTTAATCCCCTCCAGTTCCATCCATGTTGTCATGTTGTTTCAAATAGCAAGATAAAAATATATTATTTTATACTAGCTGAATGTGGATGGGTTATTAGGATTTGAAACTGCTGAAATTTCAGTTATACTGTGGCCCAGTTTTCACTCTTTTAATCATAATACATTCTTTAAAAAATACAAAACCTCACAAAGTTGGATGGGATTTCAACAAATAAACAATGCAGTTGTAATTACATCATTCCCTTACTTAAAACCACTCAGTGATTCTTCATGGTCTTTAAGAGAACTAAAATCATGAACTTGGTGTATACAGAAGCTTTCTTCACCTCAGTGTAGACCCAATGTTTTTCCTCTTGAACTTTATTTTTCAGCACACAGGTACAATTTGTTTTTCTGAACCCAGAACTCCTCTTGCTTATGCCTTTATATAACTAGGCCTTCTCTTTCCCATTCGACTTTACCTTTATGTTGCAATTAACAGCAATCTCTCACTTATCACACGTTTGATAGACTAATTACTACAAATCAATGCAAAAACCCTCAACAGGGCCTCCCTGGTGGCACAAGGGGTTAAGCACAACACTGTGAAGCTGTCCACAGCCTATGCTGCATAAGTTCAATCCCCTGCCCGCTAGAGAGCTACCCTCATGGCACCGCAGACCTCTCTTGTCTCACCAGCTGCTCCCCTCAGCAGTGTATTTCAGTCAGTCTGCCTGTTGTTCCCTACTGTCTCTGGTGAATCCTCTCACCCCTGAATCTCTGGCCTGTACCCCAGCTCTTGTATGCATAAATAAATCTTTAAAAAAAGTTGTTTTTTTTTTTTTGGTGTGGGACCCTCGCCGGTGGCCGGGGATCGAACTGGTGCTGCAGAGGCTGCGGGCAGCCTTGCAACTCAGCGCTCAACTGCTGCGCCACCAGGGGAGGCCAAAAAAAAGTTTTTAAAAGAGTAACAGAAGATATTGTTATCAGAAAATTTCCAAAGAAAATTAGAACAAAGACAATAGTATAATGAATACTCATTTTCCCATCACATATCTTATACAAATAACTCATGACCAGCGTAATTTCAAGTATATATTTACCTACTCTTCCTTGTTTATCATGTTGTCACAGAGTGCACGTTTTCTATCTTCTGAAGTTTGTAAGTATCTAAAAGATAAATTTATTTTTCCAAAACAATACCACAGTGCCCCAAATCAGAATCTCAACATTTCTCAACTATCCATTGTTTTCCTTAATGTCCCATTACTTTTAAGTTAGTATGAGTCACAATACTATCAGTATTTCCTGTTAAAAATAAGATAACAGGCCCAAAATGGAGTCACTTATGCTAAATTCCAAGTCATCAAACCAAGACTTAATTATACTTTTGGTTCTTCCAGAAGTGGAATCTTAAATCATTCCATCAAAAATTCCCTGGCCAGCACTAATATTTAGGTAATCAACCTGATAGGCCCCCACCATTCCTTAAAGGAAAGAAACATTTAATAACCAACCCACTTCCATGCCAGACATAAGTTCCTTAATTTTTTTTTCCTTCTTGTCATAAAAATCTACCTGTTTGCAAAGCTATTCAGAGCTCCTTTCTATTTGCCTGATTGGATTCAGTTTTTGCTCAAATAAACTCTTAAAGTTTTTACTATGCTTCAGTTACCTATTACCAGTTCTGGTTTCGAAGAGAACCACAGAAGACTGCAACAACCCTAAGAGTAATGAGTAACTCGAGATAGGTACCTATTAAGCCCCTTGAGCTAATTGCTTTTCGCTACCTCTGGAGGTGTTGAATAAGTCCCTCTTGGATCTTTGCTTGTATTATGAGCTTTCAGACTTTATGTGAGCATTTCTTTTTCCAGACCCAATGAGGGTTTTACTGAGTTCAACTTAGACACTGGACTGGGTCCAGAGACAGAATGGATTGGGGACACTGTAATGCCTCAAAGTAAGTAAAATTTTGTTTCGAAGTTGGACAGTTAGGTTAATCTTGCTAAAGATAATCTTTAATTGCTGTGGTCACAGTGGCGATCATTTAAACAGATAAGCTTACCCATTTTGAGATGCCCTGGATATAAAAGGGCCTCAGTAAAACACTCACTAAGAAGGGATGAATATAAAATTATTTTTCTTCTCCTACAGTTTCTGGTGAACAGGATGAAATCTGCTGGGACATTCCACTCTCTCTGGAACATGCAGAAGGGATCCTGGGAAATATGACTGAAGACAGCAAAGGTAAGAAAGTCATTTCTCTTACGTCTCAATCGGTGATGTCTGGTCAAGAGAAAAAGGTAAAATTTCACATTGTTCTCCCTTTCCAAATTCAGAGTGGTGGGCAACAAAACAGGTGTGAGGACTAGAACTTTGAATTGTGACTTATGCATTTGCTTTTGGTACCCATTGGTTACAGATTCTTTCTCTCCCAGGGATAGCTAGGGGCTTCTTGTTTGTCGCCTTTGGTGTCTCAAGAACTTGTCTTAGCAACCGTTAAGTTCGGGCCTACAAAATATGGCCTGGCAGAAATGTGGCTTGCACTCCATTTGTGGCTAGAGTTCACTGATTTGCCAGCTCTTGGGGAATTTGTCTGATTTCTTTTGTTTCGTTTTGTTTTTCGCTTCTGGCTAACTTTGGAATTGCCCCTGAATTTTAAAGAGATGGTTTCCTGAACCTTCTTTGGTGTTGCCTCTTTTGTCCATGGGTTTGTTTAATATTGCCAGGAATACGTATATTTGTCATGGTTGAAACCAAAGTTTTTAAAAGAATTTTTCAAGTAACTTATTTCTAAAATATAAGTAGTTTTTTAGTTTTTACTAGGAATTGAGGAGCCTAAAGATTAAGAACTCTCATTAATATGTTTGATTAAATTATTCAAAGTAATGAGGAAACATCTCTGTGCAAGGCAAGTAGGATGTATTTTTGGTAACAAAAGGTATGAGAATAGGGAGATGTTTTTAATAGTTAATTAATTTGTAATTCTTGCTTTTTCAATCCACTGATTATATATTGTTGGAGGACTTTTTGGATCACAATTTACTGGGTAACCATGCAGTTAAACCCAACCTAAATAGTACTCTACTGATTAAGGGAAAAGTACGTGAAGGACTTTGCCTCAGTTTTTCATTCTATAACTTGTAGTATTAGAAAAATCTAAGCTGTTTATACTATTTTCTGATACTGTACTGGAATGCACAAAATTTCACAAGGGTTTAAATCAGAAAGCCTTAAATGAATGGTAAACAAGTTTTACCACTTAATAATTACAGATGAATAGAATGATTGCTATGGGAAAATTGAGGCAATTAAATATGTAAATAAATGATACATAGACAAAAAAAGAATTTGTATGTTATGATTAATAAATACATTTCAAAAAGTGAAATCACTTTCAAGTTGATATTGGTTAAATAATCTCTTTAAAATTTAACTTAAAATGTTCCAAATACAAATACATTATTTTACCTGTAATCAAATATACATGTACCCATTGCAAATATTTACATATTTAATATTAAAAATATTTTATTACAGAAATCAGTTTTATTTTGAGCTTATATCCAATGGGAATAGAATAAAATATTGCTTACTTAATACTAAGGTATCTTATCCAAGATCTTTTGGATTTGGACCTAATCTTAATAGGCAGTAAGATGAACTAGATGAACAAGATGGCTTTGTAACTTCAACATCAGATTTAATTTTGATATCGGGTAACATGGTGTTTCATATACTACATATAAGTCATCAACCACATTAGGCATTCATGTGAAAGATAATTTTTCTTTTGAACAATCATTTTACACAGTGACAAGTCTTGGCTATAGATCACTGTCAGAAAAAAAAGTTGTTATAACACAGTAGGGAAGAAGTCCAAGATATGAATGTTCATCAACTGAAAATTAAAATATAAATATTCAATAAGTTAAATGAATTAAGCTATTTAATTTTTAAGTAACTTACTTCAACCTCTATCATTTCCACCATTTAAGTAAAGCAATGTTGAAATTTAAAAAGACTAGTGGAAACTATTTTATATAGATACTAATTTCATTAAATATAAATATACAGATGAAAGTATATCATATTCATTGGGGTTTATATAACTTTATGTGAATTATTCATTGCAAGTATAAATAATAAAAAGGAAAGTTTATAAAAATTTAAAAATATAGCCTCTTCTAAATGTAGAATTCCATGTTTTAAATAGAAATGTGTCTAGCCACCTAATATCAGGTGTTTGTCATCTGAGAAATAATAATTTAGGTGTTATCAATTGAAAATATTCTGTCTGTTGGAAAATTCAGAAATATGGAATAAATTAGCTATTTTTTTAACACCCTTAAGTCACCTTCTATCTTTGTGATACATATAAATTCTTAAAATATTTGGTAGTTGAAGAAATAAATATAGATTTAGAGATGTGGCAATGTATACTTAACACATTTTTCCATCTGGGAGAGTTATAATTTTTACAGAGCAACAAAGTAAGCCAAAGTTTATATATCACTTGAAGAATGTCCCTGACAGTGATCATCCATCTTGGCATCACATAAACCACCAAATATACATGTGAATATTATGTCTTAATACCTCAAACCATGACAAATTTTTTAGTACATTAGCTTTGCCTGAATTTCAAAACATTATAGCATGTACTCCGAGAAATATCAAAATTTATACTCCGTCAATGACTCTAGTTCTCAACTTAATATGTAAAGAAGTATGTGTTTTCAGTGAGTTTTTTCCAAATATAACAAAGACCAACATTGAAAGGAGGGATAGAAGGCAAAAGGATAGCAATAGCATTTCATGTTAGTGGTCTGAAATATATTCTTGTGATTATAGTAAGTATAACTCTGTGTATTTATCTCTGTAATACATATATTGTGATACATGTTAATATATTAATATTACTAAATACATGGATATTGACTCATTAGTAAGTTATATATTATTTGTCGATTGTTCACTTTATCCTTGATGCTGTTTAAGAAGTTAGAAGCTCGGGCCTTCCCGGTGGCGCAGCAGGTTGAGTGCAGTGCTGTGAAGCTGTTCACAGCCTCTGTGCATGGGTTCGATTCCCAGCCATCCAGGGAGCAACCAACATGGTGAGGCAGACCTCTCCCGTCTTGCCCGCTGCTCCCCTTAGCGGCGTATTTCATTAGATTTGCCTGTTCTGCTCCCTGCTCTATCTCTGGTGAATCTCACCCTCCTGTGCCTCTGGCCTGTACCCCGGTTCTTGTACAAATAAATGAATCTTTAAAAAATAAAGAATTTAAAAGCTTGGCCAAGAATTGAAAGGAATTAATTTTTGCTGCATCATTACTTTAAAAGTGACTATAACTATAAAGTTATCAAATGAGAAGCATAAGACTTACCTGGTGTCACATTACAAATTCCTGAAATCTAGGATCTTATAAGTATACCCATGTTGTATTTCTCTATCAGATCTATAGAAAATATGACTGGTCATTTCAGGAAGCATCTGTTATTACCAGGTCATTAGGACTTGTGAATACATGAACGTGGAGTGTTACAAATATATGGTAAAAATATTTGTGTGGGTTCCTTTGAGTGAATACCAGAGTAAATCTAGATGTGGAGAATGAAAAAAATATATGCACACATGTCACTTAAGGAAAGCACCATGATTTTAAATCTCTTTTAAAACTATACATACACCTTTGCAAGGAAAGCAGAGCTAATTTGAATATCTTACTGGTTCATTGCAATTCTGGTATCAAAATTTAATTGTTATGTGCTTTGTTTTCTTTCTTCTTTAAACAAAGAATGATGAAAAAAGTTGTGCCGAAGTTTTTAGAGAAGACTGAACGTTTTAACAATGTAAAATATTTAGAAAACTTTTGGCATATATTAAGTACTCAATTGGCACTATTTATAAAGATGATGCTTATAATGGTGTAAGTTTTGCTGACAAACAATGAGAATGTTTGGTTACTCCAAAAACAGATGGCAAAGGCAGTAGCTTCCTTGCAAGTAGGTTACTGGGAGGAAGATGCACCTAGGAAACAAGGTAATGGACTAGGAGAAAATAATACCTGCAGATATTAAGGATATTAAAGAATGTGTATAACCCACACATGCATCAAATTACCTTTATCATTTTACTCTCTTCTTTTTTATTTATACTGGTGCCAGATCCTGCTATATTTTTACTAAGAAGCCATGTAGAATATGCCTTAGAATCAACCTATTAGGGGGTGGAGGCATAGAGGAAAGAGAAGAAGGAGTTAGGTTGGGCACATATCACAGTCCTCTTGGATTAAAGTTGCCTCTGGAGGTGTTCTCAAGGCTCCCTGGTATAGAAGAAAACCGTTAGCAGAGAAAAGAGAGAGGGGTACTTAGGCTGTAGCTTTCATTTCTCTGGAAACCATCCCCAGTTTGGTCAAAACATCCAGTTGCCACCTGGTCCTACCAAGGTAACGTCAAATTAAAAATTAATTCAATGAGGATTTAGGTAAATTCATGAAAAATTAAAACCAGACCATAAAGGAAAATTTTCTGATACTTACAGGTTTAGTCAAACTGAGGGAATCCTTGCATAATTCTACATTTCACATGTGTAGATATATAGTGATTTATAATATGAAATACATATAGGATGTTTTTCTCTGGTTTTACTACTGGGTTTCTAAAGCCCTTTTTGTTACATGCATGAAGCGACTTTTGAACTGCACCTAAGGATGGGGCTGTTTATCTAGAGAACCAAGAAGCCAAGAAGTGATTTGAGGGGGACGGGAAAGAGGTGGGAGATTGCTAAAGGCCATTGATTTAATCAACCTAGTCTGTATAATGATGCCTCCATGAAACCACAAAAGATGGGGTTTGGAGAACTTCCAGTTGGTGAATGACTGGAAATATGGGGAGAATGGTGCCATCCAAAGGGTATGGAAACTCCATGCTATTTTCCCTATTCCTTGCTCTGTGTAGCTCTTCATCTGAGGGTTGGTTTATTTCTTTTTATTATTTACCATTTATTTGTATCCTTTGTAAGAATTTGGAAATTTAGTAACATACACAGATTTTTTGTTGTCTGGAAGCCATTCTAAGCAAAATAACTGAACTCGAGGGGGCTACAGAACCCTCTGATTTATAGCCAGTTTGTGAGGAGTACAGGTAACAACCTGGCTAGTAATTAGTGTCTCAAGTAGCGGATGGTTCTGTGGGCCCAAGTCACTTTCCTATGTAATCTGATGTGTCAGAATTGAGTTGAATTC